AGGGCGGGACGTGCCGCCTCCGCCTGGGCTAGGGAAGCGCCGGGGCGGAGAGGAGGAGCCAGGGGCTCGGAGCGGGTGGAGCCGCGCGCCGCACGCCGTGGAGGCAGACTTCCTGGGCCCGGCTCTCTGGCTACCATGGCCTTTGGGAAGAGTCACCGGGATCCCTATGCCACCTCCGTGGGCCACCTCATAGGTAAGGGAGCTCCGGGGGAGGTGGCCGGGGGCTTGGAGTTGAGGAACCCTTCCTTCCTCCCCCGGACTCCATTCTCCGCCGGCGGAGGACGAAGCCGATCCAAGTCTCGGGAAAGCCGTCCCCTCCCCGGCCGCGTTCGCGGCGGACTCGCATTCCACCGACCCCTTGGAAGCTTCTCTGGCTCGGAGATCTCTGTCTGGGCTCTTCCCTCCCTGTTCAAAATGTCCACATGCCGCCGCCTTTGGATGCGTCCTGGGCAGCTTGAACCGAACAGGTGAACCGTGCCGGGATTCGGGTGCGGAGTTTTGGGCCTCTGCAGAGAGAGTTGGTCAACTTGCCGACCTAGGGAATGTGGTTCTTGAAGTCTTCCCTCGAGGGTGCTGTATTACCCGGTCCGTTTTACAGGTGGGAGTAGGCTGGGGAGCTTTAGTGCGGTGACCTCCCCGGGAGAGGCCAGCCTCTCCAAACCAGTTCTGCCTGGCGCCGAGCCCTGACAACCTGTTACTTTTTTTCTGGCTAAACAAAGAGAGGGAACATATTCAGTATTGGAGTAGAGAGGTTAAGGGAGAGAACAGGGGGCCATCTGGTTCCACTGGGGATCACGCAGGCATCCTCAGTAGGCGCCTAATTCATCTTCCTCTCCTGTGGCAGCTGGTGGAAGCCCAAGGCAGTGGCTGGACTCAGTTTTCCCTCTCCTCCCTGATTCCTATCTTGGGAAACGGGTGTGGCAGGCCTGCATGATGATGCCAGGCAAATTGCAATAATGTTGGGAACTTAGGTGAGGAAATCTTGCGGACCTGCTAGTTTAATTACAGTGAGAGGCTCAGATTTGGAGAATTTGGGCTACAGCTCAATTGACTGTGGTGTGATAGGGAACCAGGCCCCTTGCCCCAATCTTAGTTCCCACGTCTTTATAAGCTGGTGGGAGTCACTGTTATTCAGGAAAAAACGTTTTCTTGACTTTTGATGGCTGTGACCCTCTTGAATATGAACCCTGAACAAAAGTGACTAATACTCCTAGTCTGACTAATACTTTAGTGTGGTCAGCTTTGTGGTTTGACGAGGACCAGGTTCAGACGAGGTAACGGGAAGAATAGGATCTCACCTTCAGGGAACACATACTCTTGAGGGGAAGATGGACGCAATTTGTAACTACATACAAATATGGTTTGCATACAAACCATACTTTGGCAATACAAGAAAAGTGAGAAATGGACTCTTTTGTGACTTTTGAAGGGAGAACAGGAGATTATAGGAAGATGGATACTAAGGGTCATACTGCAGGCTGGGAGGGAAGGTGTGGCAGAGAGCATAGTAGTACCATGTGGCCCAACAACATGGAGTTGTCAGCTCCGTCCATTGAATGCCAGATTCATATAGCTGGGAAGCAGGCTGAGCTTTGGGGTTCCCTCAACATACCGTTCATCTTCCATTCACCATCCAGGGCCCTCTCCTTTCCGTAGGAAAGGGATGTTAAGCTCATTCAGGTTGGGTGTTCTGTTAGTGTTCCAGAAGGCATTTTATGTTATTAAAGAGGATGTCTAGTGAGGCAAAGGGAGTCTGATAGTTTAATGAGGGGTTTCCAGGTACAAGATCTTGCCTGGTATAGCTTTGGTTAGGCACAAGTACCAGAAGTGATCTTACACTATTGCAAACAAATTTTTCAGCTGTTTCAGTGATTCTGATTTTTTTCCCTCTCAACTGCCCCAAGAACAATAAATGACTTAAAAAAGAAAACCAAAAACTGGCATGAAAAGACATAGATATTATTGTTAGTTCTACCTTGACAAGCTGCGTAGCTGGGTTATTTCCTTCAGTTCTCTGAATTTCTTTTTCATTATCATTAACTGTAATTGCATGATATAGTATTTAATAGTATGCATGTCACCTTGCCCGTGGTTGGTCAACAGGTGCCCATCTGAAAGATGGGCTGGCAAATGGAGATGTAGCCAGCCTGCCCTGGCTTTGTAGTGAGGTGCTGTGCCCACAGTCTTTATTAATAGGTCACTCATTGCCATTGCCTCAGCGGCACTCTGAACTTGGATTCTGATTGATTCCTAAGTTACTAGGAATTGCCTGGGGGAGGGGGAGGAAATCACTTTGCCCTATAAATATATTGGTACTTGCTAGGGAACGCCAGCCAAATTATTTCAGGAAGACCAGGCATTTTTTTTTTCTTTTTATTATTCTGTTGTTGTAGCTCAGACTTAATACAATAGCTTTCTCTTTGCAGAAAAGGCTACATTTGCTGGAGTTCAAACTGAAGATTGGGGCCAGTTCATGCACATCTGTGACATAATTAATGCTACCCAGGATGGGTGAGTACAGGGTGGGGATTATCATAAGAAGTGGCAGAACTGCAGCCAGTTTTCTCCAGCAAAAGGGCTTTGGTTTTCTTGAGTCTTCATCATCCCTTAGGCAGCTACTGTCTTTTGAAGACAAGTCAGATTGAAACACTAGCATGGTTCATTATTTGAGCTTGTGGCATATTTTGAGAATCCATCTTTTTTTTTTTTCTCTTTTTCATTGGTAATTTCAAATGTCATCCTTGTGAGACTCGAATTCCTTGTTCTTTAAAGGATTGTTTTTTTAGGATAAATTTTTTTTTTTCAGGAATTTCACCTGGCTCTGATTGCCAGTAAATTTTGTTAATATAACTTGAACATACTGTCAAGAAATTAGTGGACTCTTGATGGTGACCTGTCCCTTTACAGTGTTACTATTAACCAGGAAATCATCTTTTTTCCCTCTCTTGGTCACAGGACAATATTTTTTCTCTAGATGCCAGCTTGCCTTGGTCATGCCATGATCTTAAACGATGTGCTGTTTACTGCTTTACTTTTTAAACTATGGAGAATGGAAAAGTTTTTAAAAAATGATTAAAATGAGTTTGAGTTTAATGTGAATTACAGGTTATTATAAGGAGTACAATCTTCTTAATTTTCCTGTGCACGTTAAAATGATAACTGATAACAAAAGGGATTGAGCCCAGTGTATGTTGCTGAGAAAACATTACACTTCAGCATTGATTATTTATCAATGGAAAGTGTTACAGTAAGTACTTTTAAGTGCTTACTGTGTTTTCCTTATAATCTTGTTTCTCATATTTAGTTCCTCTGTCAGCCTTTTCTTTACAGATTTTTCTATGGGGAAATAATTTTTTCCCTTTTAAGACAGTATCAATTCTTTTACATTTTGCACGTGTTTAATCCTAGATCATAAAGGGTTTTTATTTTTTTTGAGAAATACAGATAATATATTTATATAATGACATTTTAATAGTTACAATTCTATGTAATCATAATTTAAGTATGGTAGAAACTCTGCCCATGTAAACACAGAAAACAAAAGTAGAAGACAACAGTGGGAAGGATTTGTGTTTTTTTGCAATTATTTGAAATATAAAAGTTATGTAATATGGTATACATTTAAGATGTATAGCACAACTTGAAATACATAGATTGGGAAGTGACTACCACATTTTATTTCATTAATATCCATTGTTCATATTATAACTACAATTTTTTTCCCCTCATGAGAATTTTTATGTTGGCAGCTTTCAAATATACCATTACAGCAGTGTTAACTTTGTGTTGTCATGCTGTACATAATATCCCCATACACATTTTATATATTTTTCATCATCTCAAAGTAAAATTTGACCTCTACTTAGTTCTTCCTTCATAACATAGAATCCTAGCATATTAGAAGCTGGCCTGGTTGGTCATTATAGGGTGTGTGGACGCAATGGTCTTAATCAAATTTGATAATTTCATGGCTTTGGAAGTGACATTTCCTATAAACTTGTTCTGTGTATTAATCAAGGGTTATGGGTTTGAGCCTACTGGATTTGGAGTGCTGTCTAGGTAATGCTGTTAGGTACAGATCTGATTCTCACTAGGATATGAATGGTATTTTCTGTTGGATGGATGAGGAAATAGCTGGGGACAGCAGAGCAAGACCTTGATCTCCTTCATCTTGCCTGCTTCTCCAGTGCTTGTTGCTTTGCAGAGGTTTCTTGTTTTCAGCAGTGCCTAAGTTGATTGTGTTACTACCTGTATCACCATAGGCCAAAAGATGCAGTTAAAGCTTTGAAGAAAAGGATTTCCAAAAACTACAATCATAAAGAAATTCAACTCACCTTGTCAGTAAGTACTTTAATGTTATAACTAAGATTCTAGAATTTCCCAGACTGTGGTCACACTTTTGGCTGTGGGTGAAAACAGTAAATAGTCTGAGATAACAATTCAGCAAAAAGTTATTTCCAGTATGATGCATTCATGGAGAGTTGCAAAATGGAGAGTTGGCTTGGATAGCATTGAACTTCACAGAAAGACAATGTTACTGGAAAATCGACTTTTCCTTTTCAGGACATGGGAATTACTGGTTAAAAGCCTGGAGATAGAGAGCTGTGTATGTGTTAACCCAGGGGACAATTAAAGTCTTAAAATACCTCCCTAATGGCTTTTTACTTCACTGGAACAGCTTGGTAGGATCTGGGGTCTTGACAGCTCATTACTTTTAACCAAGGTTCTCCTGGTTGGTGTCATTTGGAGAATGTTTTTTGATTTAAGTAATTCTCCTCTGTGCCATCTTGTTGGTGATTTGGGTGTGGACACCCATGTGACGTGTTCCATTTCCCCCCATCCTTGGCCATGTGACCTCTTCAGTCCCTTTGGTGAGTTGCCCTTTTTACGCTGGTGTGCTTGACAAGTCCTGCCTGCTGCCTGAGCATATGTGGCTTTCTGACGTCTTGTGCATGTCTTTTTGACCTCCACTCAGCCCACATCCACACACGGTTATCACACTAACCGGCCAGTATCATACTCTTGCTCTTTGGGACTATAGGTTTATTTGTCAAGGGTTATGGGGCCAACGTGAGCACAGCACTAGTTTTCTAACTTGATGGGGAAGAAAATGCATCACATCTTGAGTGAGAAGAAACCAATCGAATAGCTTTTATAATACCTGTCATTGAAGAAACCCTTCAAGTTGGGATCTGAATATGGTTGGAGGCCTGTTCTCCTTCACCTTTTATTGACCTTCTGTACCTTACTCAGAGAGGTCACAGACTGAAGGAAACTCTGGAGAGGAGTAAGGCACGTTAGTGGAAACAAGAACAGGTCAGTGACTGAAAGCAATCTTTGCCTGGCACTTGATGATAGCTTGGGGCAGCCCTGTGAAGTAGTTGTGTTAAACTCCATTTCACAGATGTGGAAACTGAGACCAAGGTTAAATGATTTGATTTTCCCTCCTAACATTTAAATCGTATATGCATGATTTGAACCCCGTCCTCAGATTCTAAATTTCATGCCCTTGCCACAAACCACTTTGCTTCTCAGAACAAATCAAGTCCCTTGAAATGATGGGCTCCTATGATTCATTTGTGTTTCCAACTTGTTGTTCGGTTCAGGCCCCATGGCCACAGTGTGCTGGGGTTGACTCAGTTAATGCGTGAGTGTCTTCCCCAACAGCTCACTCCCATTCTCTTCGCATCCAGGAAGACTCGAGGTACGAGGACGCCATTTCTCACCCCAGCCCTCTCAGCCCCAGATGCAGAGGATGAAGAGGACTATGACTCCTAGTGCCCTCTGCCCCCCCAGGCCGCACCCCCTTTTAGTTGGTTTTTAGTTGCTCTGGGGGGAGGAGAGAAAGTAGAGTTGTTCTTAAATTTATTTAAAAAAAAAAAGAAGAAAGGCAACGGAAAAATGGCCGAAAAAACCGGGGAAAGAAGTGGACCCAGGGTAGGAAAGGCAGCCGAATGTTAGGAGCATTGAGTGAGGAAGCTAAGGGCTGAAGATGAATAGTGCCTCCTTCTGTATTTCAGCATGCAGTATTAACACATTTTTAGTTGTTAACTCTATGTAATGTGTTTGCCTCTTTGTCTGCTGTCCCAGCCTACTTGACATTTCTGTGGCTGCTTCTTACCCCAACTTCTGGAGGTTTTCATCACAATTCCCTTCTTGAGAGGATGAACCTGGAACTTTCTCTGAGAAGCTGCATCATTTCAGAGTGTTTTCCCCTCTGACCCTCCATTTCCCTTGGTTTCCTGCTCTTCCTTCCCTATGGGTAGTCAGATACCAATCTTTACTGCCAGCTGTTCCCATTACCTGTTCTACCTCAGATAACTGTATTTTTTTTTTTTACCTTGTGATTTCCACACATAAGAACATTATGTTATTTTTTGCCAGTACATAAGAACAGGTAAACCTAATACTTGTACCAAAATAAAGGTGAGACTCAAAGGTTGGGGGATCAGAATATTCCCTCTTTGTTAGTCTGAATTTATTAAGGAATGTAAGGTGTGTGCCCTTCAACTGGCCTTAGAGTCTTGATAGCACCTTTCATATTTCCCCAGGGTGAATATTTAATAGCCTTCTCACCTCACCTCAGACTACTCACTGCATTACAGAGGTGTGTGAAAGTCTTCAGAACTGACTTTAATATTAACTTAAGCCAGACTTAATTATGAGGGAAATTAGTCCCAGGAAGAATCATCCAATATCTGTCAAAGACAATTATATGTTTACCAGTAAACTTTCAAAATGAATCCCTGTAGATGACATTTGCATTTTATTACTATGAAGTGATGAGAGCCTGTCAAAGCCAATTATAAATGCCCTTTGTATTATCTGTCATTTGGGGTTCTGTTCTTGTTAGCCTTGATTAGGTTTTTGATAGGATCTGACTGTACTGTGATATCCTACCATCAGTTGGTGGAGCAGTTTTGTGAAGAAGCCAGTGGTTTTGATTTTTTTGTTTTAAGTATTTTGTTCCCAAGCTTTCAAACTGAGCCAGAGGCTAGCCTTTTCTCAAATGAGTCAATTGTGATAAGTCTCAGCAAGATATTACTATCATCAAATAGAAAGTAGTTGAACAGGTTCCTGGGAATCAAATAATAGCTTTGGTGGAACATCCCTTTGGTGAGCTATGAGAGCTTCAGAAGTATGAAGCAAGAGCTAATGCTAAGTCAGAAGGAGAAAGATCAATACCAGATGGAGTCGCTAATAAGTGGGATATAGAGAAACCAAACCAAGAACCAAAGAAAGACAATCCTAAAAACTAGCCCTGGAAAATCCACTAAAGAACTGAAGCAGCTAAAGCTGAGATGGGAAGAAGGATTAGGACCAGGCAGGCAGGGAGCATGATGGACTGTGGGAAATTCAGTGGTGGGTACCCTTGGGTCATAATACTGATAGAGATGACCTGAATGTTATCAGAATTAAAAATGAATGAAAACATAAAATATGGGTTATGGGAAATCTGAAATCTTTTCTGAAATACTGTGAAGATCTTTACCTCTTATTTAGTTATGTGTTTCGTATATAAATGATTACCAGTTGGGAATTGGATGGCTTGCAGGAGTAAAAATGGAATATAATATAATTTTGGTCGGAACATAATGAAAAGCAGAAGTCTACAGTATCTTACAATAAATAAATAAAAATCTAATAAGGCTAAACATAAAAGCGTGTTGCTTCCGGAGCTTATGGTAGAATCCACTCTCCCCAGGAGGAGCCCATCCCCCCGGGTACCAGACAATGGTGTGGTTTCCAGTTCTCTTGGCCTCAAAGCCTGGCTTGGTAGAGAAATTTAACTGTGGGAAATAAAACAACAGTGTATCCTCACCAAAGTCAGTAGATTCCTGCAAATGGTGACTTAGTGTGGAACGTGACAATAAACCTTTTTCACTACAAGAGTTAAGTTCCTATAGCATAGTTTTGCTTACAAACAATATTGTCAGATTTCTTAATCAAAACCCAACACTTTAAGTTTTAAACTGTAGCTTGTCATCGTTCCTTCAGACCTTCATTTTCCAAACTGCTTATTTCAGTTCATGATTGCGGGTCAACCTGGAGTCCTTCTGGCAGCTCAGGCTGCCACCCCTGGACAGGGTTCCCTTCCTTCACAGGGCACCCTCACTCAGACCAGGACAGCAGGGGCACTTCAGGGAACTTAACATGCACAGCTTTGGGATGCAGGAGGAAGCTGGGGTACCTAGAGAACAGCACAGGGACGTGGGGAGACAGTACAGACTACACAATGGTTGCCCAGACTGAGAGTTGATTTATCTTTTCCTCTTCAACTTTATAATGAACGATGTTGCACAAAATGGCATGACTGGAGACCTGGTGCACTAAGTACCTTTTTTGAAAATAAAACATTAGCCAGTCAGCTCAGTCTATCTGGATAGGAATTTATTCATGGAAGATGATGGTGCAGAAAGAAGAGCTCTTAAAAGGAGGAGTTTTTCCGGTTTGCATATGATGGTCCTGAGGTTTAGTCTTAGATGAATGATGTACCCAGCCAACTGCAAAAGCGATTTGGTCAAGCCCAAAATTTGCACCCTTTCTTGACTCTTTTGGCCCCTTGGCCTTAAACTCTCCTGCCTCCGATTTTAGTTTCTTGGCATAGAGAGTGCTATCTGAGCATATAAATTGCAACAATGTCCAGTTGCAAACTGTGTGAAATTAATGTATTGAATTTTTCCGAGTCATCACAGTAGGTGTTATTATCGTCTAAGTAGACTTGAGGGTGAAGGGTACTGTGACATATTGAAGAGGCCATGTACAATTATCCTGCTCTCTGATTCGGGCGGGGTGAAGGGGCACAGAGGGCGTCTATGTTGCCCCATGAACTACAGAAGTCCGTGTTCTCAGCCCTTCATGTTGATGCTGCACATGCTACCCATTATCACAGAATCTCAGTGCTCCAAAGATAAAAGTTGGCTTATGGGAGATTTAGCAAGAAATTCACCCTTCATTTTACAATTTGGAAAAGTGAGACTTGGCAGCTAATTATCTGGCTTCAGACTACAAAACCATTGGAGGAAGGATTTCTCTAAATTCCCTTTGAACTAGAACCACTTTTCCTCTCAGGATTTTACCTCATAAAAACTCATAATGTATTAAGCAAAAAGTGCGACGTTCAGCTTTTCTTTTTTTT